CTGAAAAGACCGCGGGATCAAAAGCATCTAGCCGATACGACTCCCTCCACAATGTTGACGCCCTGGCAGGTGGCTCACCTATTGTGAACAGAAGAGCCGTATGATCGCTGCCTGTATAGCTATCGCAATGGCTCAATGTTGCTCCCCGAAAGAGGGATGAAGTGACAAAAGTAATGTCGATAACAGACCCGTATCCCGCCCGACTGAAGGTGTACTCATGGCCAGTGTTGAGCAGTGCAACATCTAGTGTCGCGAAGATCTCCAGTAGGATACGACCTCTGGCATTTGTTGTGGGGCTACCCCATTCTAGCGCCCAGGAGTTAAAATCTCCAGCTATAATGGCCTTCCGACCCCTAGCATCCTCGGCAAGCTCGTCGAGCACCGTCGTGAATTCACTGAGCTGCATGCTGGGGGCCAGATAGCAACTGTAAAGCCATAAGCTACCATATCGGCCACGTACGAACCCATTGAATGACTTAACATTCGAAAGTACGTTTGTTGAGTTGCCGCATACCCACAACGCAGCTTTGCCATTAACGTCTGTTGACCATGTCCTAGGGCAGCTGGTTCTACAGTGGTGAGGCTCACTGAGAAAAACTACATCTATACATTTTTCCCTAATGGTCTGCTCTAGAAGATCTTGGGCAGCAATACAATGATTTAAGTTAAGCTGCAAAAACCTTAACATTTCATTTTACGAGCAGCTTCACGGTAAGATGGGCACTTGAAGCTGCCTGCTGAATGGTCCGTCTGCTTTTCACCTTTCCGGATGCAGAGGCTACATTTTGGTGGCTTGGTGCATGCTTTGGCACTGTGACCCATCTCTCCACACCTGAAACAGGCGCCCTTTAAGTGACAGTCGCTGCCGCAGTTTGCTGCCATATGACCGTAATCGAGGCACTTGAAACAGCGTTTAGGCTGCTCCACGGCTCGGATACGGCAAACTACCCATCCTATTCTAATTTTGGACAGCTCGAGCAGAGTTTTAGCTTTCCCAATTGGAAGAGCAACCGTAGCTATTTGCTGTCCACCAAAAGCTGGCCGAAGCGATTTGATAGCCTCAATGGGGAGTGAGCTATCCTTCAACTCCACCCTAATTGCCTCCAAGATCTCCTCTTTGGTCGCTAACTCATCTAGATCGCGAATCTCAACTTGAGCCGATTCGGTAAGTGTTTTAACTACCGCTCTTTTCCGGCGCCCGTAAAGCATGATTTTCTCTGCTTGCATGAACTTCAAGTGCAAAGCAAACGATTCATCTCTATGTCCATCATGTGGTATGCCCGTCTATGCATTGATATCCAAACGATCCGCGTGGCTAGGGCTATAAACTGTTCGTCAGTGAGTTTATAGGTTAACGTTATATTGTTGCACTTATTCGGGTGATGGATTTGGTCGTCTTGGTAGCGCCCAAGAGGATCTCGCTATGCGAAATTGACTTAGATGGATCGAAAAAATACGTTTCATTTCGACTGTGCATCAATATGAACTCCACCAATCGTAGAAAATATTCAGAGTACATAAGTAGGCTCTTGGCGCTTTATGCACCAGTGATAGATTCATAAATGCGAGAAACTACCGGTTTAGAAACTCTTTGGGCATCAAGAATACGATCAGATCTCGTGCATCTGTAATGATCACTGTATCGTAATCGTATGACGTATATCGCTCGATGGTCTTTTGATTTGATATTTTTTATCTCTGTTGGTTCGATCTGTAGGTACACTGGCCAATGGTCGTACCTAATACGTCAAAAATTTATAGTCTATATTTCTCAAAAATTTTTAAACGCCTTACGGCTTGGTTTTAGTATCCAAAATGAAAATCTTGACCAGATCAAAACTTATTTCTGCATTATGATTTGTATATTTGAATATACATTATATTTCAAAAACCAGTTCCAGCTTTTATTGTTCTGGTTCTGGTGGGTCTGACCTATGTATAGGGCCAGCAGCAACAGCATAGCAGGCCGATGCCAAGACAGCTAGTACAGCAGTGAACAGAATCTATGAGTAAAAGACACCAAAATAAGATTGTAACTTCTGAGTGGGCAAGCAAATTTGTTTCCTTACCAGTTTCATGTTGATTGTAGCTTCCTTTAAAACGAAGATATCATTCGGACTTGGGCCTTCCATTTTATACCCTTTTTGAAAGCGTGACTGCAACGAATTGAAATAGATATGCGTATCCGTACTGTATCGATTTCACAAAATAAATTTGCTTGACATCTAGTCGGACACGGCCGGAACGTATCAGATTAGTTATTTGCACTAGAACTAAACCATGTGGAACATCACATTTACATTTGAGTCAGAAGACTCTTTTTGTTAATTTGAATGTGAGTAGGGGAAAAACGCGAGGAGTATCCAAATATTAAATTATTTTTTAAAACAGATCTATAATTTATTTCTAGCACATCTCATAATTGTATGTTAACTTGTGTATTGATTTTTGCCATATAGCAGATACCGACTCCAATGTTGCTAAGTTCTCAAAATTGAAGGTTAGCTTAAAATATAGCAGTATTATGAATGAGTTTGCAATTATTTATAATTGGTAAACATTCAATAAAACATTTAGTTCACATACTGAAAATTTCATTCAAATTGGCAATAGGACGTGGCAAGCTGTGCTGAGCATTTTAAATATTTTTTCTATACATTCGAACATGCATGCATTTTCTATGCATATTCTAATAATCACAATTGCAATGCAAATATGCGTCAATTTTCTGTTAGCACATGAATTCCTGTCGAAACATCACCTCCCTCCTCCTGATTAATCGTCCGCAGAAATTTGTGGTGCTGCTCAAAGCGCAGACTGTCGGATTTGTTGTCCCACGACCATTTCCCACTAAGGTACTTCTGCAATTCTTTTATTTTTCTTCTTTTTAGACTCATTCACGAAAGTGAAATGAGTATATTGGTTTTGTGCAATGTCCGTCTTGCTGTCCGTCCGTCTGTCCGTTTTTCCGTCTGTCCGTATGAACGCAATCTATTTCGGCGCTATTGAAGCTAAAGACTTAAACTTTGGAACACATACTCGTGTATATCTCCGATTTATAAAGTGTTAAAATTTTCCTGATTCGCCCACTAGGGGCGTGGCAAATTGGAAAATGCATTTTCCGATATACCAGAAATCATTTGGTATGTAGGTCCGCGTCGACCACCCAAGATCACGAGCTATGGCGGATATATCTCCGCCCATTGGGGGTGTGACAAATCGGATTGCAAGTAAGCTGATGTTTCAATTCTATAAAGATGGGTGAAAAAATTATATATCTACGCCTACTAAGGGCGTGTTAAATCGGACCTGAATATATATTGATTTTTCGAATTCGGCTATATTTTGGACACTATTGATGCTCGAGGCCTTAGTAACTGGAAGTCATGGCATCATTTCTTTAACCACGGCAAGCCGTATCTATTATGTTTATTCTTGATCAGGGCGACGAGCTGAGTCGATTTATCCCTGTCCGTTTGTCTGTCCGTCCGTCTGTTCGTATGTTTGAACGCGCCGATCTCAGAAGATATACATTGTTTTCCTAGGTCTGTGTATACCACGCGGATATCGAGTTTTGCTTTAAAAATCGATAATTTGTCCCGTTATTTTGTTATCGATTAAAAGCATTATCGAAAACCAGTAATAAATTTATATCTCATACATCTTTAAAGCTAGAGTCACCAAATTTTTAATGTAGATTTATATGTACTTTATGGAGTTTTGATTTCTATCAAAATTTACCCCCACCCTTAATTCATCCCCTCACCCACATGTTTGTAAAATGAGTATTTCAAATAGTAGAGACTTGTGCTTTGGCAAATACATGCATATCTATATTATATTCATAATCTGAAGATAGTCCATCCACAAGAAAAGTTATTGAGCAATTAAGTTCCCATAGTAAGCCCACACGGTAGTCCATGCGTGTATGTTTCTTGTGTATGCAGATAGGCGCGAATAATTGTTGAAATATTAATTCTTAGAAGAGTTCAGGGGATTTCGTAGTCGAGCAGTCTCGACTAGAGCTTTCTCACTTGTTTTTGGTTGATCAAAAAATCAGAGGCACAGGATTAGTAAACTTTAAAGAGGGTATGAGATTTAAGATAAAAATTTCCGCTTGGCCACTCCCATATTAGAGTTCATATACATATGCATGTATGTATATCATGAAGTAGAGTAATATATTAACATTATATTATATGTATCGACAGTCACATCATTTGTTGGGCATCATATCGACATGAACAATTGTAATGGTATACCAGAATAATTGATACTTTAAATTTTTCTTTTAAAATCTTGTTTCTATCTATTGAAGAAATGAAAGTCGTGTACACTGTTTATACGGATTAAAAAAAAAAAAAATTGTGTACTAATTGGGGTGTATAAGTCGGGAAATGCTTAATCTTCTACGGTTTTACAGTTAATGAATCAATGAAAATTTATAATTGTATTTTGCTTTTTTTAAATATAATTTATTAGCGGAGTTTGCATATATTCGACTATAAGAAGTACAAAACTGTATTTTCCATTAGTCCGTGAAGTGACACATTGATATAGTCAAGGATATTCCGAACATATTTCGATCTTAGCTTGGGTGAGAATTAGCAAAAATAAATCTATAATTTTGTTTAACTAATATATAATAAATTTTGTTTTGATCTTGATTGCAAACATATAAATTTATCAATTTATGACGTTCGCCTTCAGTTTACTGCTCTTGACGGGAGACTGAAGTGAGTTTGAGGATCAGATTGCTAGTATATCATTCCTATCGATGCTTGGTAACAGCTTTAAAATATTTTTCAAAAATGTTCACGTCCACATATGCGGACATGAGGCGATCGATTCGATGAAGACATAGGAGGTGTTCATAGAGCTCGGACATTTTTCGTACTTTCAACTCGTTAATGATGGGTACTTCCAGATGGGGCTGTCGCAATATGTGACACGAATCATTCTCGAGTGAGTAGTGCTCCTCGCGAACCGCTGAGGAGTATGTTGCAGAGTTTCTTTAGGTGCCCTATAATTCCGCGAGCTACGTCAACCAGATGCGCTGTTGATTGGACACGATATACTCCAGCTCAAGTTTGGCAATGCGTAGATCTGTGCTGCGATATTTGCGCTCGCCTATCCACAGTATGGGGCGATCCTCGACACTTGTAAGAGCAAGTTAACAATCTTTTTCCGGCGCCCGTAAAGCATGCTTTTCTCTGCTTGCGTGAACTTCAAGTGCAAAGCAAACGATTCATCTCTATGTCCATCATGTGGTATGCCCGTCTATGCATTGATATCCAAACGATCCGCGTGGCCAGGGCTATAAACTGTTCGTCAGTGAGTTTATAGGTTAACGTTATATTGTTGCACTTATTCGGGTGATGGATTTGGTCGTCTTGGTAGCGCCCAAGAGGATCTCGCTGTGCGAAATTGACTTAGATGGATCGAAAAAATACGTTTCATTTCGACTGTGCATCAATATGAACTCCACCAATCGTAGAAAATATTCAGAGTACATAAGTAGGCTCTTGGCGCTTTATGCACCAGTGATAGATTCATAAATGCGAGAAACTACCGGTTTAGAAACTCTTTGGGCATCAAGAATACGATCAGATCTCGTGCATCTGTGATGATCACTGTATCGTAATCGTATGACGTATATCGCTCGATGGTCTTTTGATTTGATATTTTTTATCTCTGTTGGTTCGATCTGTAGGTACACTGGCCAATGGTCGTACCTAATACGTCAAAAATTTATAGTCTATATTTCTCAAAAATTTTTAAACGCCTTACGGCTTGGTTTTAGTATCCAAAATGAAAATCTTGACCAGATCAAAACTTATTTCTGCATTATGATTTGTATATTTGAATATACATTATATTTCAAAAACCAGTTCCAGCTTTTATTGTTCTGGTTCTGGTGGGTCTGACCTATGTATAGGGCCAGCAGCAACAGCATAGCAGGCCGATGCCAAGACAGCTAGTACAGCAGTGAACAGAATCTATGAGTAAAAGACACCAAAATAAGATTGTAACTTCTGAGTGGGCAAGCAAATTTGTTTCCTTACCAGTTTCATGTTGATTGTAGCTTCCTTTAAAACGAAGATATCATTCGGACTTGGGCCTTCCATTTTATACCCTTTTTGAAAGCGTGACTGCAACGAATTGAAATAGATATGCGTATCCGTACTGTATCGATTTCACAAAATAAATTTGCTTGACATCTAGTCGGACACGGCCGGAACGTATCATATTAGTTATTTGCACTAGAACTAAACCATGTGGAACATCACATTTACATTTGAGTCAGAAGACTCTTTTTGTTAATTTGAATGTGAGTAGGGGAAAAACGCGAGGAGTATCCAAATATTAAATTATTTTTTAAAACAGATCTATAATTTATTTCTAGAACATCTCATAATTGTATGTTAACTTGTGTATTGATTTTTGCCATATAGCAGATACCGACTCCAATGTTGCTAAGTTCTCAAAATTGAAGGTTAGCTTAAAATATAGCAGTATTATGAATGAGTTTGCAATTATTTATAATTGGTAAACATTCAATAAAACATTTAGTTCACATGCTGAAAATTTCATTCAAATTGGCAATAGGACGTGGCAAGCTGTGCTGAGCATTTTAAATATTTTTTCTATACATTCGAACATGCATGCATTTTCTATGCATATTTTAATAATCACAATTGCAATGCAAATATGCGTCAATTTTCTGTTAGCACATGAATTCCTGTCGAAACATCACCTCCTCCTCCTGATTAATCGTCCGCAGAAATTTGTGGTGCTGCTCAAAGCGCAGACTGTCGGATTTGTTGTCCCACGACCATTTCCCACTAAGGTACTTCTGCAATTCTTTTATTTTTCTTCTTTTTAGACTCACGAAAGTGAAATGAGTATATTGGTTTTGTGCAATGTCCGTCTTGCTGTCCGTCCGTCTGTCCGTATGAACGCAATCTATTTCGGCGCTATTGAAGCTAAGGACTTAAACTTTGGAACACATACTCGTGTATATCTCCGATTTATAAAGTGTTAAAATTTTCCCGATTCGCCCACTAGGGGCGTGGCAAATTGGAAAATGCATTTTCCGATATACCAGAAATCATTTGGTATGTAGGTCCGTGTCGACCACCCAAGATCACGAGCTATGGCGGATATATCTCCGCCCATTGGGGGTGTGACAAATCGGATTGCAAGTAAGCTGATGTTTCAATTCTATAAAGATGGGTGAAAAAATTATATATCTACGCCTACTAAGGGCGTGGTAAATCGGACCTGAATATATATTGATTTTTCGAATTCGGCTATATTTTGGACACTATTGATGCTAGAGACCTGAAATTTGGTATATATACGCGGGTTGACCATCAAGTCCAACGAGCTATGGTAGATATATGGGGCGTGGCAAACCGCAAACCTCCTACAGTTTCAAATTTGGATAGTTGAGTTACTGGTAGCCTTTTCTATCGATGTCCCAAAAATAATTTTTAAGCCTCTTTAGGGGCGTGGCATATCGAAAAATACCCTGCAATTTTCACATTTTTTTAGCGTAAGAATTCAAATTTTGCATTTAGTTGCTCGGTGCTCGTTCTAAGAACTGGCCAAAAATGAGGAGTCTACGGCCACTAAGGGCGTGGCAATCGGCATTTATAGTGCCCATATTGCGGCATTTATATGCGTGAGCCATCTATTTATGTATTTGTTCACATAAATAGGCTTAATAGGCATTGATAGCACGCAAGGAAACATTTTTATAAAATTAATAAAATATAAAAAAGCTAAAATAACAAAAATTTGCAATTTTCAAAAAAGAGTTTTCCGCAGGATTTGAACTCGCACCCCAGCCAAATAGCTGTTTGTCAAAATATCTAAAATAAGGATCGCTGGCGCTTCTGCCTACAGCACCAACTCGTCGTTTCGAGCAATAGAAGTTAAAACGAAATCACATTATTGTTATGACGCCACATAGCAAAGAGAAGCCAGTGTAGCGGCTGGAAATTCAAAAACAATGCAAAGACAAATCAATCGCAACGAGATTCTTAAAATATGCTAGAGTACGCATTTATGTGTACATACATACACACATACAAATGAGCGCGTGTATAAGGCTGGAATGCTTGATGCTATGCGTGCAGACTTACATATATACATATATATATGTATGTATTTACGTATATGAATTTGAGGGCTATTTAAGAAGAAACAAATTTAAACTTATAAAATTATTCGACTAAGAAAAAGAAAAGAGTTAAGTGCCATTCATTCAAGCTCGCACCTTCCCAATAAAATATATTTTTTATAAAAAACGAAATATGTATGAAGAAAAAAAAAAATAATAATAACATCGAAGAGGTTTCGAACCTCCCCTACTCTAACATAATTGCGTCGCCCATAGCACCCGCACCACTGCTTCGCTTGACCAGCCGGTTGCTAAAATAGAATAGCTTAATAAGAGAGCGTCATCAGACAAAACTACAGTAACGGCTAGAAAGTCCAGAAATCAATCGAAATTCTAAGAATGTGAGAAAAGGCGCGTTTCTGTCTGTAGGAAAATCGCTCTGATCTGCTGCTAGCTTGAAGCCGGTATCCAATATATGGATATAAATATATAATAAAAATCAAAATTGTATAAATTATATATGTATGTAATTTGAATGCAATGATGCAATGATCATAGCAATAGCTATCGATGATTTTCCAATTCTAATGGGATCATGCCCTGTTTTTTTGTTGCGCACTAGACTTGAAAATTGCACTATATACTCTGGTTGACAGCGTTTGGGCTGTGAATGAGTCTTCTGCAATCGGTATCGCCCGACTGCAACGTTCTTACTTGTTATTTTTATTTAAATACATAGTTTTATACCCCGAACCCATTAAAAATGGGAAATCAGGATGGTTTTGTTAAAAGTATGTAACAGGCAGAAGGAGGCGTGGCAGATCAGGGTGACGAGCTGAGTTGATTTAGCTTTTTCTGTCTGTCCGTATGTTTGAAAGTTTGATCTCAGAATATATAAGAGCTAGAGACTTGAAAATTTTTATACACTGAACCCATTTTCAATGGGAAATCAGGGTATAATGGTTTTGTTGAAATGTATGTAACAGGCAGAAGGAGGCGTGGCAGACCCCACAAAGTATATATATTCTTGATCAGGGCGACGAGCTGAGTTGATTTGGCCCTGTCCGTCTGTCTGTCCGTCCGTCTGTCCGTATGTATGAACGCGTCGATTTCAGAAGATATAAGAGACTTCAATTTCTTTTTAAATGTCCGTAATTACAGCGCGCATATCAAGTTTATCATTAAAAATCGATAACTCATCCCGATCTTTTTTATCGATAAAAAACCTTATCGAAAACCAGTTATAAAATTATATCTCCTACACCTTTATTGCTAGAGTCTCCAAATTTTTTATGTATGCTAATATGCAATTTATGCAATTTCGGTTTTTGTTAAAATTTACCCCCCACCCCCTCACCCTCATGTTTGTAAAAAGCGTATTTTAAGTACTAGAGACTTGTGCTTTGGTAAATACATGCATATCCATGTTGTTATCATAATCTAAAAGTTTCATGAAGATCGTATGTCCACAAAAAAGTTATTAAACAATTAAGTACTCATAGTAAGCCAATATTGCAGCCCATGCGTGTTTATGCGTGGGTGCTTGTGTGTGTATGTGTGTATGTGTTTGTGTATGTGTGTGTGTATGCGTGTGTGTGTATGTGTGTGTGTGTGTTTTTTTTTTTTATATTCATTTATTGACAAAATAACAAATTGCAAGTTGCGTGGTGGCTAGGATAGCGCGCGGTGCTTGCGGGACGGCCGTAAAGCATTGCTTCGCAAGCACTATGCGCTACCTTAGCCTGGGACAGCTCGTCTTCTCAGTCGCTCGACTCTGCGGAGCTCCATCATCACCGTGGCCGCGAAGGTGCTTGTTAGTTCCCAAGCTTCCTCCGATTCCAGCATGGCGTTCACTAAGTTGTCCGCTCTGATGGAGCGGCCCACTGCCTATTCCAGACGACGCCTCTCCTCCAGGAACCGTCCACATTCGAAAAGAATGTGGTTGGCGTCTTCCACATGCCCTCGCTCGCACCAGGGGCACTCGTCAGATTCCTCGTGGCCAAAGCGCTTCAAATAGCTCCGAAAGCATCCATGACCCGAGAGGATCTGCGTAAGGTAGAAGTTAACCTCGCCATGTTTGCGGTTAACCCATGGTTCAAGCTCCGGGATGAGCTTGTGCGTCCACCGCCCTTTAGCTGAGCTATTCCACCTTCTTTGCCATCGTGCGATGCTGTTCGCCCTGACAGCGTTGAGTCGCGTAGGCCCGTGCGAATTCCGCTCCACGGCTTCTGCGACCAAATACTCCAGTGGCACCATACCGGCTATGACGAGCGCCGCGTCATCGGAGATAGTCCTGAAAGCGCAGCTGACTCTGATTGCGCTCAGCCTGTAGATCGCGCAAATGCCTCGGCTGTAGCTCGGCGTTGCCATCGCTCTTGCCCATATTGGCGCAGCATAGAGGATGACAGACCTAATGACGCTCATTAGGAGGAGACGTCGTTGCTGTTTAGGTCCCCGCGTGTTAAGCATGATTCTCGAGAGAGCTCTACAAGAATCAGCTGCCTTTTTATGCACATATTCTAAGTGCTCGCGGAAAGTTAATCTTGTGTCTATCATGACACCAAGATATCTTATCGCCCTCTTTGACGCAATGGTGACGCTGCCGATCTTTATATTGGCAGTTTCCACTCTTTTGCGACTGCTGACTAGTACAACTTCGGTCTTGTGTGCCGCTAGCTCGAGCCCAGCTCCTGTCAACCAGCTTCGTATGCGATTGATACTTTCGCTGCACATATCCTCTGTATCTTTGAGCTCCTCTCCTATGGCTACGACAGCTACATCATCAGCAAAGCCAATGGTGTGCGCGCCTGCTGGTAGTTCCAAGCGCAGTACGCCGTCGTACATGATGTTCCATAGGAGAGGCCCCAGCACTGAGCCTTAGGGTACTCCAGCTGACACTGTATGAGTTTGGGGATCCTCACTCGTGTTGTATACCAGTGTTCTTCCTCTGAAGTAGCGCATTCAGTATCATATCCCAACTAGCTGTGTTGAAGGCATTCCTTACATCCAGGGTCGCGATGATGCAGTATTCCTTCGTCCCGTGCCTCCATCTGGTGCCTTGAATAGCGGAAGTGGCCAGACCGACAACTTTGTTAAGCGCGTCCATTGTTGACCGGGCCTTCCGGAA